TTTTTGTAGCCAAGCGTTTCCTCCACCTCTGGAATCTTTGGGCATATTTTCTTTGTCCCCACTTCACTAGACTTTCACAGTGAGTGACTTGATGTGGGTGAAATTTAAGTGAAATAATAAATGTGAAATCCTAAAATGGAATGGCTAGAGAAACATGGTGCGCAAGCATGATGGAAGGTGAGCTGGGGAAGAGCAGGGAACAGAAAGAAAATGTTACATGAAGCTGGGAGCAGGAAAGTCAGGGAATTTAAGGGTGGTGATCCTATCTTACCTGGTGTCTCCCCTAAGCTGGAAACATCCACCTGCCTTCCCTAGGATTTACCTGTCTCCAGCAAAATCTCCCTATTCCCATTTAGCTATTAAAGTCCAAGCTATTAAGCACTAGTTCAGTCTCACCCAATAGGCCCACAAACCAGTGTTCTTGAAGTAACACACACAGAAAGGTTGCTTAACCCCTGAACTGATACCTTCTTTGGTCTTACTATAGCAGTATGTGTTTTTTGTTGTTGTTGTTTTAAGTTGGATAGATGATGTGCCTTAAATCAGAGTACAGATGTGAAAGTACTTTATTAATTTTAAAAAACTGTACAAATTAAATTGTTGGTTGCTGCTCTTTGGAGAAACCAAACTTTCCAATTATGTGGAAAACACAGGTTGAATGATACAAAATACAAATACAAATCAATACTGTATAATCTGTGAGAGAACCACTTTTCAAGTACTGACAATACCATATCAGTGTTTTCAACTTTTTTGAAGTATTTGTATTAAGTTTGGTAACAACCCCATGTTGAGTTTATGGTAATTTTTAATTCCTTTCTCATGAACAAGTGCATCCTGCAATTTTCTCTCTGTGCCCCATCTTTCTCTTGAATTAGAATGGTTATTCTGTTCTTTCTTCCTCTGCCTTCCCTTTTTCCTTATAATGACATGCACTCAGGTTTTATTTTTTGGGCAAAGGCAGAAGTTTTAAAAAACTGAACTCTGACTCCCTGTGGGTGATTTCCATATTGATGGGGAGAAATCGCTGTGCTGATTGTAAACAATTGTCAAATAAGTCTTTTTAAATATAATATAGTTAACCCGCTACCCAGCAAGATTCAGAGTATTTGAGTCTTTTGCTTAGGAGTACCTATACCTGCTTACTTATGCAGTTGCCCTGTCATTTAGAACAGAGTTGCTTCTATCATTGTTATACTGCAGATGGAAGTGATAAAAATAAAGAACTGGTTTCCTTCCTTCTGTAGCATTATGGAATTATTATTATGGATCCATATTTGGAATAGACATTGATTTCTTTTGTCTCTATCTAAAACATGTTAAACAAATGTGCTAGGTGCCATATTTAAACGTACAGTGAATTAAATGGGTTCTATTTTATTTATTTGGGGGGGGGCAGCTGGTCAGTATGGGGATCTGAACTCTTGACCTTGGTGTTACAAGGTTCTGTTTTAAATGAAATTCTTTTTTTTTTTTTTTTTT